CTCTATCTAGGATCTCCTACATAGATCCCCCTCCAAGTGGTTGATAGTGGTAGCTGGGCACCATCTAGTTCTTCCGGTCTTATAGTCGTATAGGCTGAGGATTGCATGGTGTAACAGTTTCTTGGACTAGTTGTTCCATGAATCTTTGGTTTTCTTCATTGTTCTTTGCTATGGATAAGGAGAGACCCATTGTTGTATCTAGATGGCTGCTTGCAAGCTTTTAAGATCCCAGTTGCTACTCGCCAAAGTAGGATGTGGAACAATGTTTTGTGTAGTATGTTATGCCAGTTGAGCTTGATGTCCACTGCAACTATGGTCCCGAGCCCACAGGTCCAAATACTTGGTCCCTCTGGGTAGCTGGCTGTGGCCAAGAAATGACTACCACCTTGGCCCTTGTCAGCCAACACTATACATGGTCTTGGGCACACTGACCCCTGCACAGACACACCTAATATTTCAGCCTGTCCACCCATCTATCCACCCATCTAGCCATGTTTGCCTTCTCTGACAATGCAGTACTGTACGTGCAAAAGGGTTTCATCTTTGTTGTCTGTACCTCCCATGTACCTCTCTGTGTCTTCCTCTTCCTCAATGCCACCATGTTGATCACTCACATTTGGCACATTGCCTGGAGGGATCAGTATATATTTTTTGATGTTCTGTTGTCTTCAAGCTTTAATTGGTCAAGAAAACACTTGCCATGAACATATATATGATACCTACATATCAGGCAGAAGGTTGAATTGAGATAGTGGCTTATGTTTGTTTTTTTTTAAATAGTAAAATACTTTCTTTAAATGAAATCCTACTTGGAAAATCAGATATTAGGAGAAAAAGCTGAGCTGTTGTGGTGCTTGATGCTGCCAAAGTCAAAATAATCTAAAGAGTTTCAATCCTCCTGGTACTCTAATTTCTAAATCTTGATACCTTAGTATCAGATTTTATACTGTAAATACAGCTAATGGTTATTTCCCCAATCTTTCTCTCTCCACCTGAAATACTCTAAAAATAAAATAAAATAAAATAAAACTTATTTTTTGCTTTGAGATGGCATTCCAATTTAAAAATGAACCTAATCTATGTTTTCTGATAATTTTCTGCATATATGAAGAATAATTTATAATTATGATATATTCTATGCTTTATAACACCAGAACAGACTTTAGAAATAACATTAGGAAAGAATCATATTATTTTTTCTTTCTCTAATTTTTTAACAATTCAATAAACATGTGTTAGGGCTTCTAGTGAACATCTGTAATTTCTAAAATCAGACCAACCATACCACTACTTGAAGTATTTATACACAGCCCTTCTATTCTCCCATGATTATTTTTTTCACTAATAACTTTTGAAGTTTAAACACTACTAATGTGATTTTGGTCTATTAGGTTACTGCTCATGCTAGACTGGTGATATAAATCAGGTACGTATTTTCTAAAAATAGGAGAAAATGAAATGAATTGTCAACATATTTTTGGAAAATAAACCCAAGTTTACAACTGTACTTAGAAGATATTTTGTGACAAAATGATACTGGAAATTTTCCAGTCAATCAAGATAATCAAGGGGTAGCTATAGACAGTGGTATGCTGGAGCTGGCTTCTATCTTTCCAACTTTGTATTTAGATGTCACATTGGTAGCTTGAAAGTGGCCATGGTGGGGATATTTATACCACAGAAATCAGCAAAAGCTACAAATCAAGAGATTCCTCTCTATTTTGACGAACACATCACTAGGGACAGACATTATTCCTTTAAAACAAAATTCAATTATTTTATTGTTCATAAGAGCCCTTTTTGAGTATCTAAATGTTTTCATACAAATCTGTCTTTCTGGAAAAAAGATTTAAACGTTTCTCATTAAGGAGCTCTGGTGGCCTAGTGGATAAGGCATCTGGCTGCTAACCAGAAGGTCAATGGTTCAAACCCACCAGCTGTTTTGTGGAAGGAAGATGGGGCGATCTACTTCCATAAAGATTTACAGCCTTGGAAACTCTTTAGTTTATATTAACAAAAATGTTAGACTTTCAACGTGAAGGGATACATCTGTGAAGTCTTATCCAGAGATGAATCTTCCTTTCTTATCAGGAAGTTATACCCCATTCAGAATATACTGCTCAAAATTTGCATTTTCACCTTAAAGAAACAGTATCCAATTTTAAATTCAACTGATGCTTATAAACCAAAATATCCAGACTCCAAATAGAACTCAACAGATTTTAATTCACTGTCAAAAATATCTATATGATTAATGATAAAAGGCTAACTAGAAATATTCTGTAAAGTATGAAATCAACAATTTTATTAAACGAACTCATTTGACACCTTAAATTAGGAAAAAAACTGCATAAAAGAATCACATTCTCATTCTACTTAAACATAACACACAGCAGTGGTCAAAAACAATGTACTGCGGAATGGATCCCAGGATTTAAGGCAAAAAAACAAAACAAAACAAAACAAATCCATACATAAAAATTTCAGGCTTCTAATTTTACTGAATCCAGTACTAAACGTGCTTCTTTATATTCTTCTGCTTCTTCCAAGTCTTTTTCACTTTCCTGAAACAAAATATAATAAAAGGTAAGCATATCTGTCTCAAATTTCACAACTTTTGTTATTTACTCAAATATTAGAAATCACCAATGAAAACAGCTCAAAAATTGAAAGAAAAAATATCCTAAGCCTCATCTTAATATAATTCCACAGGTCTCCCATAGTTCTGTTCCTTCTTCACAGGAAAGGGAAGACATACTTAGTTTGGTATTGCTTCTTAACTAGTACCAAACACAGTATATTCTCAAAAAATAATTGAATAGTATGGTCATCTAAAATTAACAGCACTAAGTAGTAAGTAAAAACAAAAAAATTTCAAATTGTTTTCACTCTCATCAGACATCAACATATCATCATACAAAAGGATTTGTCAACACATCATCATACAAAAGTGTTATTATTAGTAGTGGACTAAAAGTAAATAATCATTATTTATTAACATGCTACACAGATAACATTCAGGTCAAATAACCCCCCAACTATTTATGATGACAAAGAAGGTTACTGGTGTCACGTAAGAGTTAAGTACAATCTTTGAATTAGAAAATGAATTTTCTGCCTATTAATGAATATTATATATCCTACCTATAAGGAAACTTTAATTTCTTACACTTAAATATTGAGTTTTTCCATTATATTAATATACAGGAAACTTTTACTAATATATGGTAGTAACAACAGACAACTGACATAATACCATCTAAAATACTGTGGTTAGAAATTTTTGTTTGCTTTTTAAATAAAGCTATGGTCAGTAGTTTATGTCAGGTCAATAAAAGATGGAGATACACAAATTGTTACAGAGCAGAGGAATAAAATATATGTGGATGTACGTAGACAATATGAAAATTGAAAGTAAAAGGGCTGAGGATTTGTTTAATTCAGACTACAGGTAAGAATTTCTTAAACCTCTACATTATACCTAAACACTGTTCTCCATTAGTAAAATGTAAGTGTTCTGAAGGTACAGATATTGTTTAAAATAACCTATGCACAAATATATCACCTCACTTACAAAAATAGTATTACTTTCTTTCAAGCAATTTCTTAGCTACTAGATGCATGAGAGGAAAAAAAAAACATTTAAATTGTCAGGAAATAAAAATGGTGCTTCTTGTTGTAGGTAGTATTTTAACATAATAATTATTTCATGCTTTAGCTATCTTTTATTTCAAAACCATAGCTTCTTTTTGGGCTGTCAAGAAGAGTTATCCCACCTTTAAAAGGTTTCTATAGAAAAATATGAAGTTCTGTGTCAAAGTTACTATCAAATGTGAATTTCTTTCTTTATATAGATTTAATTCAAATGCTAGTAGAAAAACAAATTTGATTCTCTTTCAAAGAATACATATGATTATCTGGAAAAAGCTTTACAGCATTTTTGTTACCTAAGGAAACATCTATGAAACAGAGAGAGAGTTTATGTAGCGAGTAATTCAGATTAGCTCAAGAAATAGAAACACAATCAGATTAGCAAAGTAAATGTTAGAATTCATCAGGTTATCAGCAAATAGCAACTGTCAATTGTCTTATATGTGTGGCACAGTACCCTTTTATCTCTATTAAGAAAGAAAGAAGATAACTTTTAATTGTTCTTAGGAGTCATTTAGAAAATGATTCTGCAATTGTATATATCCCAAGCCACACCAGCAAGTGTGGTAACACTACTTTCTCTAGCTCCAACTTAGTATGAGAAGACTGTCTCTATTGTAGCGCCCTACCCCATCAAACTGGTAAGTTTGAATCTGAAAGAATTCCAGGTCCTTTTGTAGAAGGGCCCAAATTCATTTGAAATATCTGGATCTTTTAAAATTTTAAATAGTCTTTTCATGCTTAATGTGTCAAAAAAGGTATTTATGTAACTAAGTTTAAGTTAATAGGATAAACATGCTAGAAAACAGTATTTTTATTGGAGGCATAACTCAAAACGCAATTTAAACTGTATTAATTATTTTAAACAATTAAAATATACTGGAACACAGGGCAAGTGAATAAAAAATATCATCAATTTGTTCTTCAGTGTTAAATATTTAAAATTTTAGCTTTCCTTGTAATAGATGGAAAAAAATATTTAAAACTTAAGACAGAGATTTTTACTTACTAATAACTGCAGAAGATCGGAATATGCAGCTTCCAACCTGCGCTGGCAATCTGGGATCATCATCCGGGACTCCTGCAGGATCTCTGCCTGTAACAAGCATTGTCGGTGAGACACGCAGAGATGGCAGAACTCACAAGTGTTTAGTTCACGCTTCTATAAATATCTTAAAATGATTCAGAGGAATCAGGAAAAAATCATGGTTAAAAAACTGATGTCAAATGGTTTATTATTTTCAATTGTGCATATTTAAGTTAGAAAAACTATCACATGATAAAACCTAGAAAGTACAAGTTTAAGAACTAGATTTTTTTGGTAATCACGTTCTTATGCTAAGTGAGAATTAACTGGAAAAGCTTTTCACAGAGGATTTATTTTAAAAGGTTATTTCAGATAAACTATTTCCCCTGCTGTCACAAAGCACCTTTATCCAAAATGGGATCAGCTGGTTATATAAGTATCTCCTGCCTCTTTTGCGTAATAAAGAAAAACAGTGTTCAGATAATATCACAAAGAGATAATTACCGCATGAAAAAAGTTATTGAGTTATTGATCACATTGTGTGCACACTGCAGGAGGTTCTCACTGAAGACAGAGGTAAAGAAAATGAAAAGCAAAGACCAGCAGGTTTGTATTTTTGATGCTCATCATGCATAAAAAGTTATTACTTATCCTTGTGCTTCATTGTAGGAGAAAGATTATTCTCCCCATGTACTTTGAGCCAAATTACCAACCTGGAACCCCTCTGAATCGGAATTTCTTGCTTGTTCCTCCAAAAGACAAACACTACAGAATTAAAAATAGTAATATTTATCTTGGAGGATTATTTCTGGGCTCAAAAACCATTATTCAATGCTGGACTACAGCTATCAAACCATAAAACAAGAAAAAAAAATCAAATCAGTGACTGGGAAGTCCAATCAATAAGAAGGTAAATAAGTTAGTGGCAGATACTGGACCTCAAGGAGGTCTTTTTACCTAAGTAGTAGGAAGCTTTACTTCCTTCAATAATTCTTAGACAAAACATAGGGATCATTTAGATATTTGAAAAAAAAAACAATGTTGTGTCAAATAATCTTTGGTCACATGGGTATAAAATCTGAACTTTTACTAAGATTACACCTAATCATCTAGTTAATATAGAATTAAATGAAAAGAGGAATAATTTGGAAAAAGAGTGAAAATGGTCATACAATTCGAATAATGTAATCAATGTCACTGAAGTGTACATGTAGAAATTGATAAAATATGTGTTGTTTGTATATATAATACTAATTAAAAATCATAAATTAAATGAAAAGGAAAGATAATTTAAGGATAGTCATACTATATTACAATAGAAACTTTTGACAAGTCCCACTACCTTCTCCCCTCCCTCAATAGTTCTGTCATAGCTCACACTGCAAACAAAAACCAGAATACACAAGGATGCTCTTTATCCACATCTATTTTCCAGGTAAAATCAAATGTTGAACTTGTAGTTAATTTTATTAATAAGAAACGGGTTGAAATTTTCCAACATAAATTCACTGACTTTATTTCACAGCTAATCATTTTATGCCTAGGTATTTTATCATTGCACGAAATTATTTTTTGTACATCGGGTTAATTTGAAGACAGGAAAAACCAGGAACAGGCACTTTTCATATTGGGTAAACATTTCCTACCCATACTATAGGGAACTCTGGTGGCATAGTAACTAAGGCATTTGACTGCTAACCAGAAGGCTGGAGGTTCAAACCCACCAGCCACTCCTCGGAACAAAGTAGTGATATCGCCTCAGAAACTCAAGGAGGTGTCGCTATGGGTCCAACCCAACTCCATGGCAGAGTTGAGTTGTTTTGTTTTTGAGCGATACTATGGAATTCCCTTTAGGATAGCTTCTAGGAATTAAATAAGATGAAATAAATGTAAAGAATTATGTCAAACACAAACAATAGGCCAAAATGTGTATTTATAAAGATAGCTTTTGAAAGATTTAGTGTTGTCACTGAAATGAACTTTAAATAATGCTGTTCTAAATAACTTCTATCCATTATTACAGAGAAAGAATCCTCAATGAGCCTATCAAAGCCTGATTTAGCAGGGCCAAAGCTCAGTCTCTCGCACATACTAGCACTGATTCATTCAATAAGCTTACTATATGTCTGCATGGCCCCAGGTACAGAAATACAAAGATGAAAAAGAGAATGCCCCTGTGCTCCAGTCCAGTGGAAGAGCACAGACATGATATAAACATTTGACACTGCTTTAAGAAGACCACCCATGGGAAGCCAAAAGCACATAATCATGACTATGCTTTAGAATCTATACACCACATCTACATCAAAGCCACATACTTTACCTTGTAACAATTAATTACAATTGTCTGGGATAATTTTAAAAGATGTATAAAAGCAAAAACTCACTGCCATCTAGTCGAATTTGACTCACAGCAACCCCCTTTGGGTTTCTGAGGCAGTAAATCCTTATGAAAGTAGATTGCCCAGTCTTCCTTCCGTGGAGTGGCTGGTGGGTTTGAACTGCCAACCTTCTGGTTAGCAGTCAAATGCCTTACTTAGGCACTAGGCCACCAGAGCTTAAAAGATGTATATAATGTGTTATTATATAGTTAATCCACTGCCATCGAGCTGATTCTGACTCATAGTGACCTCCAATGGGTTTCCAAGGCTGTAAATCTTTATGGACATGCCTCATCTTCCTCCTGTGGAACAGGTGGTGGGTGTGAACCACCAACCTTCTGGTTAGCAGCTACATGCCTTACCCACTATACCACCAGAGCTCCTTTATTGTATAGTAAACCAAACCAAAACCAAACTCACTGCCATCAAGTGGATTTCAACTTGTAGCGACCCCCTTTGGGTTTCCAAGGCAGTCAATCTTTATGGAAGTAGACTGCCAAGTCTTCTTTTCATGGAGTGGCTGGTGGGTTTGAACTGCCAACCTTCCAGTTAGCAGCCAAATGCCTTAGGCACTATGCCACCAGAGCTCCTTTATTATCTAGTAAATACTTCAACTTAACCAAATGAGAATTACCTTTCAAAATATTTCCATTGAGAGGTAGTTACTCAAATGAATGAACCTCTGTTCAAGATACCTGGATTAACTGTCAGCTTGTTTTCATGTTGACTGTGATAACACTAGGGTTAATTAAGTCAAGATCTTGGCACACACTGAGAGTTACAAAGAATTTTAGGGGAACAAAATAGGATGGAGTCCTACTGATATCTAACTTGTTTTTAAGGCAAGTTATGATTTATCTTGGTAGTCATTTCGGTAAAATGGAAGTTGGGGGAGGTTTAACAAGATTTAGGTTATAGCAGTGAATAAACTGCTTGTCTTAGTTATCTAGCACTGCTACAACAGAAATACCACAAGTGGATGGCTTCAACAAACAAAATTATTCTCTCATGGTTTAGGGGGCTAGAAGTATGAATTCAGGGTGCCAGCTCTAGGGTAAAGCTTTCCCTATTGGGACTGGGGAAAGGTCCTTGACTCCTTCTGACATCTGTGAGCCCAGAGTTCCTTGGAGATCTCCATGTGTCTTGGCGTCAATCTTCCCCTGGGTCTAGGAGGTTTTCAGTGCAGGGATGTGTTTCTCTTTTTTCTCGGTGGTAGCAGGTCCCTCTCTATCGCTCTCTGTTCACATCTTTCTCCTCTTATCTCTTTTAAGATAAAAGGTGATACAAGTCACACCCCAGAAAAACTTCCCATACATGGAATCAGGGCTGTGACCTCAGTAAGGGTATTGCACTCCATCCTAATACTGCCTCATTTACATAAAAATCATAACCTAATCCTCATTAACATAACCTAATCCTGCCTCATCAACCACAGCAGAGGTTAGGGATTACCAAAACCCACCGCCATCCAGTTGATTACAACTCATACCAACCCCCATTGGGTTTCCAAGGTGGTAAATTTTTACAGAAGTAGACTGCCCCATTTAACTTCTGCGGAGCAGCTGGTAGGTTTAGAAATGTCAACTTTTTGGTTAGCAGTCAAATGTCTTATACTACACATCATAAAATGGAGGATAATTACATCAGATCACATGATGGAGGTGATTACATCATAACTGCCAAACTACATCAATAAATAACTGCCAATCCACCAAGAATTATATCTTAGCCAAATTGATAGATCTTTTTTGGGGACACAATTTAATTCATAACACTGCTAATCTAAAATCTGATCCATTTCTTTTGCAGTCAAACATACATAAACAGAAAAATCTGACTGGAAGATCTTCATTTTCTTCACAAAGAAGAGGGCTGTGGAATAATCTGGGCATTGTTAAGCACTTTGCTTGACTGGGATAAGGTTTCCAGCTTCTTTAAAGATCCAGATTATTCACCTGTGCTGATTATACTTATAAGCATAAAAACCTGTGGATACTCTAATATTGGCTATTGTTTGCCTGTGGAACCAAAAGCAATTGTATTAGCTGAGCTTATGGTGATCCGGAGTTTACAAGAGCAATGATCAAGTCCTTCCTTTTACATGATGGTGAAACATTAATGTGCTACAAGTATCAAGTGCTCCATTTGTCTTCACTCAATACAAATCAGACTTAAATGCAAAATATAAAACCATAAAATTTTTAGATAAAAACAAATTCATCAAGATGTTTGACTAGACAAAGAAGTCTTAGACTTGTAAGTATTGATAAACTGTACCTTTTCAAAATTAAAAACTTGCTTTGCTAAAGATCCTGTTAAGAAAATGGAAAGACAAATTACAGACTGGGAGAAAATATCTGCAAACCAAAAATCTGGTACTAGTGAAAACCAAACCACTCAATTAGAAAGTGGGAAAAACATAAGTGGGTAAGTGAACATACATTTCATGAAAGAGAATTATGCTGCTGTTAGGTGCTTTGAGTTGGCTCTGACTCATGGCAACCCTATGTACAAGAGAACAAAACACTGCCTGGTTGTGTACTATCCTCACAATCCTTGCTATACTTGTGCCCATTGTTGCAGCCACTGTGTTAATCCATCTTGTTGAAGGTCTTCTCCCTTTTTGCTGACCTTCCACTTTACCAATCATGACATCCTTCTCCAGGGAATGGCCCCTTCTGCCAGCATGCCAGTAGGTGAGATGAAGTCTGGCCATTCTCGCTTCCATGGAGCATTCCAGGTGCACTTCTTCCGGGACAGATTTGTTTGTTCTTCTGCCAGCCTATGGCACTCTTCTCCAACACCATAACTGAAAGGCATCAACTCTTCTTTAGTCTTTCTTATTCACTGTCCAGCTTTCACATGCATAAGAAGTGACTGAAAATACCCTGGCTTGGGTTAAGTGAACCTTAGTTTTCAAAGGGACATTTTTGCTCTTCAACACTTTAAGTAGATCTTTTGCAGCAGATCTACCCATTGGCGTTGATGAAGAGAATATACAGATGGCAAATAAGCACACAGAAAGGTGTTCAACATTATCAGCCATTGTTGTTGTTGCTGTAGGTAGTTGCCACGGAGTTAATTCTGACTCATGGTGACTCCATATGGGAGTCCATAAAGTTTTCAAAGGAAATGCAATTAAAAGCACAATAAAATATCACACCTAACAGAATAGCTAAATAAAAAGTAATGATAACACCAAATGCTAGTTGTGAATGGATGTGCAAGATGGATATGGAGGATGTGGAGAAATGGAATCATCATACACTGCTGGCAAGAATAAAAAATGGTTACAGCCATTCTGTCAAAGAGTTTGGAAGTTTCTTTTAAAATGAAAAATGCACTTATACAACCTAGCAATTGCATTCTTGGGTACTTATCCCAGAGAAAGGAAAACATGTTCATGCAAAAACCTGTACAAGAATATCCATGGCAGTTTTTCATAATATTTAAAAACCATAATCCCAATGTCCTTTAATGGTGAAGCTGTGGTATACCCACCCTATGGGATACTACTCAGAAACAAAAAGGAAGAAACTACTGAAATTCTCAGTGACTTCAATGGAACTCAGGGGAATCATGCTAATAAGCCAATCTTAAAAGGTTATATACTGTATGACTTCATTTATACAATATCATTGAAATAGTTAATTATAAGGAGGGTTAGTGTTTAGGGAGGTGGAGTGGATGGAAGTGGCTATACAGAGGTAGCACAAGAGAGGCATGTGATGAAACAGTTCTGCACTTTGATTGTGGTGTTAGTTACAGAAGTTCCACATGTGATAGAGCCACACAGAACTATGTGTTGCTGTGTGCCATGGATTCGATTCTGACTAACAGCATCCCTACAGGACAGAGTAGAACTACTCTATAAGGTATCCTTGGCTCAAATCGTTATGGGGGCAGATTGCCAGGTCTTTTCTGCCACAGAGCCACCAATGGGTTAGAATCACTGACCTTTTGGTTAGTAGCCAAGTGCTTAACCATTGTGCAAATGTGCATGTTTAAATATGAATAAGCTCTGTTGACCGTACTAATGTTAGTCTCAGGGTTTGGATATTGTATTACAGTTATACAAAATGCTAACGTGAGAATTTGAAATTCTGTTCTGCATCCCCTCCCCCCTTTTGATATGGATCCTTCTGCAGACTCTTTGATCAAAATGTACAGTAATGGCAGCCAGCACCATTCTGGTCTCATGGCAAAATTTTTAAATAACAGTAACAGAGGATGCAATCAAGAGTTAATGCTTACCTATGGTGCTGCTGTTAGTTGCTGTGGAGTAGGCTTTGACTCATGTCAACCTTACATATAAGCAGAGGTTTATTGAAAGATGACCATTATGTAAAGTTAAAAGAAATAAAATAGGTTCTTTAGTCATCTCTGACATTATTTATAGAATTTTATTTAGAAAGGGAATATATGTACTAACCACTCTATATAACTTCCAAGTCCTATTCTAGCTATGTTGTTGTTATGTGCCATCGAGTCAGACCCGACTCACAATGACCCCTCCTCAGATTTCCGAGGCAGTATCACTATGGAAGAGATTGCCCAAGCTTCCTTCCGAGAAGTGGCTGGTGGGTTTGAAACACCAGCTTTCTGGTTAGCAGTCAAGTGCCTTAGGCATTATGCTACCAGAGCTCCTATTCTACCTATAGGGATATTTAAAAATACATTATTGGTGATGGAATGCACAGGGTAAAGCTATTTGATTAGGAAAATAAGCCTAGTGAGGTCCAAGAAGGATCTGGATGAAATAAAGTTATACACAATGTCATAAATATTTCCCTTTAGGTGAGGGAAACAAAAGAGGATATTAGAGTGAGAGAGCTACAAAAGTGAAGAACATTTAAGTATATACAAATAAAAGCATTTAATCATCATAATTTTAAGCACTAAAAAGTTATATTTCATATGTTAATCCTATGAAGAGTAACCCTAAAAGTCAACATATCAGGAAACAAATCATTATCTATACATCTGTTTACAAATCCTTCCCCAACTTATGCATATCTGACATACAAATGTCTTTTACATACAAAGTACTATACCATACATAGAAGAAGGCAGGATCTCCTAGAAGCTAAATGTAATAGTTGAGTTGTGTGTCAACTTGGCTGGACCACAATTCTGAGTGGTTTAAGCCATTGTGATGTGGGTTATTCCAATGATGAGATTGGATGTATATGTTTTGAGCAGCCAATCAGTTGAAAGGGAGTTTCCCTAGGGGTGTGGCCTTCTTCCAATATATTTATGGACATCCTGGGAAAAGAGGTATTTTTCTGTGGGTCGGGATTCTGTTGTACTGCCTACAACTGTCTGTGAGCGAACAACCCACCATTTGGCCTGGAGATCTTGGATTTGTCATTTGTTGGAGTCAACAGCCAGTATACTGCCTGTCAACCCTGAGCTCTTCAGCCCCTGCAGCTGTGTGAGTCAGGAAACGCCTCCAGCTTGACGTTTGATCCACGAACTTGGGACTTGCCAGCTTCTATAAGTGTGTGAGCCATTTTCCTAAGATAAATTTCTCTTTCTCTCTTTATATATAAGCTTTACTGGTTTTCCTTCTCTGGAGAACCCAGCCTAACACTAAAGTAAGAAGGCTCTCTTCCTGGACAGCCAGGGAAAGAAGATGCTTCAGGTATCATGACATTCACTTTGCACTGCAGAAAGCATCTACCTACAAAACGATCCATTTTAAGTGATTCACCTTGCTGAATTAAGTACAGGATAAACATATACTATTACCATTTGTAACATAATTTCCATCTGAAAAAAAAAACACTGTACATTCATAAAGCTGATTTAAATTTAAGTTTTGAGACATAATCTGTATCATATTTTCATTATTGCTAAGTGCGTCTCAATTTACCAAGATGGGGAAATGAGAAAAGGAACAGCTCTTTGTTTTTGTTTTGGATAGGGTGGATGGAGAGAAGATCAAGAGTTTTATTTTGGACTTCCAAGAGGAAATGTCAAGTAGGCTAATAAATAAGTGTGTGGATCTGAAGGGGTCAGGCCCAGAGATATAAATTTGGGAGTCACTGGAATTAGAATGAGTGCTCAGTAAGCAGGAACTCTTACTGTTTTTCCTTTTTTTTTTTAATGCCATGGATAACAGAGTGCTCTGAACAGCGTCTGTTATGCTGCAGGTTTTCAATAAATATCTGTTGAATGAATAAATGGACATAAAAATGTTATTTAAAGTTATAGGACAGTATGAGATAACCAGAGAGAAATTATAGATTAAATCCTTAAAGTTAAAAAAAAAGGCCAGTTTCAGCATAGTAACTGAGGAAGGATCCAGAAAATCAGGAGGTTTTCTGTCAAAGACGCCAGATCACTGATGTATGTAACATAGGTTAGGGCACATAAGCACTTCCAACAGGAGGGAAGGTCATTTGGTATAGATGAAGTGTGGGTGGAAGATTTTGTGGTGGGAATATGAGGAAATTCCCCCAGATAGCCTCTATTTTCTCAAGGAATTATGAAGCAAGAGTATCAGCTAAGAGTAAATATTCAACAAATGGAAGCAGGCAGGGTGTTACGGGGTAAGGCCTGGGGGAGGCTTGAAGGAGGAATAGGAATTAACTGGAGTAGAAGGAGTATCACAGACATATACAAAATCACATGGGCAGAGAGAAACAGTTGAAATATTCTGAGAACTAAAAGGCAAGAACTTCAGAGGCCTGGGCAGGGACAGGCAAGAGATGAGCTTAGAAAGTACGCAGGTGTCAAAATGAAGAAGAACCTTCTTGTATGCTGTGCTAAGGAAACTGAAATTTGCCATGAGGGCAATCACAAGTAGCCAATGAAAAGTGTTTATTTTTTATTTTGGTGGTCTTCACATCGGTTTGAGGAAATTATTTGTGAACTTAATTATATAATGTATTTAATATAAGGTTAGGGCATTTTTATATTTAATATTTAAAATAAAGGAGGTAGTATGATAAAGATACCAGACTCTGGAGCCAGAATACCTGTGTTCAAATCCCAATTATGCCACTTAGCAGTTGTGTGACTTTGGGCAACTTATTTAACATTGTTTGTTTCCTCATCTTTACATGGAGATTTTAAAAGTACTAAGTAACAGTACCACCACAGAGGGCCATTGTAGAGACTACATTAATTAATATACCATAAAAAACCAAGCCCACTGCCACTGAGTGGGTTCTGACTCACAGTGACCCCCACTGGGTTTCCAAGGCTGTAAATCTTTACTGAAGCAAATTGCCTCATCTTCTTCCTGTGGAGTAGCTGGTAGGTTTGAACTGATGACCTTCTGATTAGCAGTCAAAATGCCTTATCCATTATGTCACAAGAGCTCCTTTTAGTCAATATAGTACTCTGTAAATGTTACCAATTATTATTTAAGATATAATTTTACCTGCTTTTTAATAGCATAATTTTCACCATCTTCAGCTTTCATTTTTTCAATCTTTTCTTCTTGTTGTTTTGCTTCTTTTTCATACATCACTTTTTCTTTGACCAATCTATAAATAAACCAAAAACGTTTTGGAGAATTAACTTTCTTACTAGTGAACAGACCACAAGAAATGAACAAACTATGTAAATATTAAGCATACTTAAAATATCAAAGTAGATACATTATTAGATTGGCAGAAAGGGAAGAAAAATACTTTAACCATAGAAATAAGGGGGAGCTCTGGTAGCGTAGTGGCTAAGGCACTTGACAGCTAACCAGAAGGCTGGTGGTTCAAACCCACCAGCCACTCCTC